TACAATTTCCCCCATTCAGCATTATGTTGGCTGTGGGTTTGTCATATATGGCTTGTATCTAGTAAGAGGTATGTCAATTTTGTTTATTTTTTCAGAGAAGCAACTTTCTATTTTATTAATCTTTGGTATAGTTTTTTTTTTTTTTTTGCTGTCGATTTCATTTAGTTCTGCTCTGATCTTTGTTACTTCTTTTCTTCTCCTGAGTTTGGGGTTGGTTTGCTCATCCTTTTCCAGTTCTTTCAGATGACTCATTAGATTGTTGATTTGTGATCTTGCTGTTTTTTGGATGTAGGCATTTATGGATATGAATTTTCCTCTCAGGATTGCTTTAACTGTGTCCCACAGATTTTGATAACTTGTGTCTCGTTTATATTTAGTTCAAAGAATCTTGATTTCCATCTTAATTTCCTCCTTAATGCAATAATTGTTCATCAGAAGATTGTTTAGTTTGCATGACCCTGTGTAGAGATGAGAGTTTCTGTTAGATGTGATGTGTAATTTTATTCCACTGTGGTCTGAGGAGATGCATGGTACAATTTCTATTTTTTAAAATTTGTTGAGACATGCTTTGTGTCCTAGGATATGGTCAATCTTAGAGAATGTCCCATGGTTTTTGGGTAGAATGTTCTGTAAATGTCAGTCAGGGGCCCATTTGTTCTAGAGTTTTGTTTAAGTCCATTGTTTCTTTGTTTATTTTCTGTTTGGAGGATCTGTCCTGTGCTGTCAGAGGGGTGTTGATGTTTATCATTTCGTTTAGATCAAGTAGGATTTTCTTTATGAATCTGGATTCACCTGACTTAGGTGCATAAATATCTAGCATTGTTATGTCTTCTTATTGAACTGTAACCTTTACCATTATATAGTGACCATCTTTGTCCTTCATTACTTTTGTTGATTTGAAGACTAAGTTATCTGAAATCAGAACTGGTACGCCATCTTTCTTTTGGCTTCTGTTTGCATGAAATACTGTTTTCCATCCCTTCACCTTGAGTCTGAATGCATCCTTGTGGGTTAGATGTGTTTTCTGAAGATAGCAGATACTTGGCTTCTCTGTATTTATCCATTTGGCCAGGCTATGTCTCTTTAGTGGGCAGTTTAAGCCATTCACATTTATTGAAAGAATTGATAATTGGGGCAGGTTTTTGTTCATCCTGTTGAGTTAAACTTTGTTGCTTTCTTTCTTGAGCCATTGTGGTATCTGGCCTATGACCTTTAGCTTTTGGATGATTTTACACTGTTCAGTGTTTATTGTGCTGATCCATGTGTAACACTGTTCTGAGTATTTTCTGGAGGGCAGGTCTTATCTTGATGAATTCCCTTAGTCTTTGCTTGTCTGAGAAGGTCTTTATTTCTCCTTTGTATAAGAAACTTAGTTATGCAGGGTACAAGATTCTAGGCTGGGCATTGCTCTGTTTGAGAAGACTGAGAATGGGGCCCGAGTCTCTTCTGGCTTGTAAGGTCTCAGTTGAGAAGTCTGAAGTTAGTCTGATGGGTTTTCCTTTGTATGTTACCTGCTTCTTTCATCTGAAAGCTTGTAGGAGGGCCTCTTTTGTGGTTATGTTGGCCAGTCTGATGACTATGTGATGTGGTGTCTTCCTATTTGCAATGAATCTCCCAGCAGTCCTTTGAGCTTCTTGTACCTGGATATCCATATTTTTAGCAAAACCTGGGAAATTTTTCTCCCTTATATCCTCAAATATGTTATCCAACCCTTGTGTATTTTCTTCTTCGCCCTCAGGGATGTCTATAATTTTCATCTTAGGCCTCTTCATGTAGTTCCACATTTCTTATAGGCCTTGCTCTTTTCTCTTATTTCTTTGCTCTATCTCTGTAACTGACTTATTTAATTGAAAGATGTTATCTTCAATCCCTGAGATTCTTTTTTCTGTTTGATCTAGCCTATTCTTGAGGCTTTCCAATGTGTTTTGTAATTACTTGAATAAATTATTTATTTATAGAAGTTTTGTTTGATTTTTCTTTAATATTTCAATTTCTTTAGTTAATTTTTCTTCCGAGTCCTGGATTTTTTTGTGTGGTTTCTTTGTGTTGGGTATCCCTTTTCTCTTGCATATCATTGAGTTTACTTACAATCCATGTTTGAAATTCTTCTGTCATTTTAGTGTTCTGAATTTGGTTGATATCCATTGCTAGAGATTTGGTATTCCCCTTTGGGGGTGTACTTTCAGTTTGATTCTTCATACTTCCAGAATTCTTTCACTGATTCCTTCCCATCTGGAGCAGCTGTTGCTTCTTGCCTTTGCATTTTTGTTTAGATAATGCCACACCCAGTTTAGTCTCTGAGTCAGTGGGTGATCTTTGTGGGTGAGATTCAACCACATCCTGTATGATGGGTCAGTAAATGCAGTAAAAGGGCATGCAAATTGACCTCCCTGTCAGTAGGTGGCACTTGCTGGGAGGAGCAAGCTGCAGTGTTGTTTTTGGGTCCTGTAACCAGCTCTGGTTCCTCTGGAGAGGCACTCTAGAGCCTCAGGTGGTGTGTGTGGCCCTGGGACTTCCAGGTGTCTCCTTAATCTCCACTGTAGCAGGGGCAGGTAGGGGAGTGAGGCTGGGTGGGTCTGGCTTGGGTTGGGTGAGCCTGCCCTCAAGCTCTGCAAATGCTGTTAGCAGGGGTCAAAAGTCTGTTCCCTGCTTCTGGGCAAAGCTGCCAGTGAGGGGCTGAAATGGCCCCACACAGCCAAAAAGTCTGCCTGTGGGGGTGGGGTTTTCTAAGACCTGCAGTCTGGAACCCCTTTTCACCCTCCTCCATTCCGAGGTTTCTCCCAGGCCTCTGCCAGCAGGCAGGACCTCAGCCAGAAGATCTCCCCTGACTGTGATGCAAGCCAGGTTCCCTGTGCAGGATCACAGCCTAAGCTGGGAGCGCAGCCCTCCTGTGGGAAGAGGGTTGCCCCTAAAGCACACAGCAGCTAGGACCCACTCTGATCTGGCCCTGAAGGCACACAAACTTCAGTACTAGTTCACAAATATCCCTTCTGTGCCTCCAGGCAATGTGATTGAGACCTGGGTGTATGGGATCTGGAGATCAATCCCTGACCCTGCCAGGGAGAATAATGCTGGTCTCAAGTCACCCATGGGGTGCCCAAGCTAGATCAACATCTCTGTGCCTCGATATTTGTCCTGTTCTGCTGGAGTCACCAGGCCTGTAGCACCTAGGAGGGCTGGTGTATAGGGAGTTCACAGTCTGAGTACACCTCAATCACCTGCAGTGCCCCCAAAGGAAAGGTCCCATTCCCTGCAGATGCCTCTGGGTGTGTTTAGTTCTTATGGTTGGAACTGGGATACATAACTGGAGAAGAGAAATTACAGGCAGGTCATTATAGCTGTCTACAAATATTGAACCCATATATTACAAATGGTGCAGTTTTATTCTTTGTTGCTTCAATGGGAAGAGCTAGAACCAATGACGAGAAGTTATAAATTATGACTAGAGGCATGTTTTACCTAAGAATAGAGATGTTCTTTCTGATTATTAGAGCTGTTCAACAAAAACAGTAAATTGACTTTTTACCTAGCAAGTTACTTGACACTGAAACTATTCAGAGTCTGGCTGACAATCTGGTATATGGAATGGTATAGAAAAGAATCTCTGTCTGGGAAGAGAGTAAATCTAAAAACCATCCTAGTCCTTAGCTTTTTTCATTCCATTTACTTTTCCATTTTGATCTCTTAATCATCCACCCATGCTGATTGCCTCAATACAATATATCAAACCAAGTTCTTTGTCTTAAACTCCAGATTGATATTCATCCAATGTCTACTGAGCATTCCTTTAGGGTATAGTACAGATACCTCACCCTCCTGATGTTCAAAGGTAAATTAATCAGTCCTTTTTATTTCAAAACTATACTTCTTCCTGTATTTGCCATCTCACTTAATAGCACCACAATCAAACCAGTCCTGAAAGTCAGAAAACTTAGAGTCTTTTGTCTTTTCCACTTCTAGTTGATCTCCAAATTCTAATGATTCTATCCTCTTGATATCCCTTGGATGCATCCCCTTCTTTACTCAGTGTTAGAGCCTTTGTTGGCCCTGTTCATCTCTTGCTTGATTTACTGCAATAATCTCCTAACCCTATTCCTCCCTCCTCCTTCTAAGCTATCCTCATGGTCAAAGCCAACTCCCCACTATTTAAATCCTTCAAAGTTTCCCATTGCCTTGAAGGTAAAGTCCAAATTCCTTAGCATCATGTAAAAGTCCCATACGGCTCCACAATCCATCTCTCACCTAGTTGCTCACGCATGTCTTCATTTGTGCCATTCCCATCCTCAATTAGTTAACACCAGCTTCTATCAAGAGTAACCTCAAGCATCATTTTCTCTAGAGAACTCTTTCTGATCCTGCCACAGAGCTGAATTAGGTAGCCTTTTCTGTGTTAGTTTTGTACTCTGCAGACCTCTATCATGGCATTTATCAAAACAGACTATAATTGTTTGTTATTTTTGAATCTCTCACGTCAGATTATATGTTCTGTAAAGCCAAGGACTGTGTCTTATTCCTATCTTTAGCCTGATGGCTAACCCAATGTCTGACACAGAGTATGTATGTGCTCAGTACTAATGGGCAGTCTTGAGTAACTGTTATTAATAGGAGCAATGGACTCTAGCCAGACTGCATGGGTAGTTATGACATATTCCAGTTGTGTGATCTTGAGCAGGTTACTTAAACCCTCTCTATACCTTAGTTTCCTTATCTGTAAAATAAAGATGATCATACTTACAGTACCTATTTCATAGAGTAAATGTGAAGATGAAATGAGTAATGGTTTTTAAAACAGCATATAGAGCAGTGCCTGACACATAGCACACCTGTTGTTGTTATTAAATGTTTGTTGAATCAATGCATGATGTCTAAGAATCTTTGCATTGCTAAGATTCTATAATTATAAATTTGAGTTTTGTTTTACTCTAGAACCACATGATTCTCCAGGGAAATAAAGGCTTTGAATCTTCTTGGGTTAAAAAGACTGTTCCTTCCTTCCTTACCTGCACCAGGAGAGTGAAGAGATGTTTGTCCTGAGAAGTGCTCCCACGAGAGCCAGGGTATTACCAGTCAAAGTCCAGCCCATCAAATTCATACTGGCGCAGGAATTTGACGACCGAGGCAATGAAAGTCTGGCGGTTCTCAGGAGTGGAAACTATGGCAGTGAAACTGAGGGAGACCCAAAGAAGGCAGGGTGAGGCCTCAGTGGTCTCAGCACCTTGGAATAATGTCAAACGTTCAATTCCTGCCTCAGAGCCCTTCACCGGAACCCACAGCCCAGATTAAAGCATGTTCCTGGTTTTCTCCTATCCTTTCTTTGTAATCACTAGTCTTCCCAGCCATGGTATCTCAATGTTCCCTTTATTTTGTTATCCCTCCAACTCTGATCTTTCTCTCAAGGTACCCTCGTTGCTTTGAACACCTGGCTAACTCAGCTCACTGTGTTCTCCCTTCAAATAGTCCCCCAAGTTCCTGTACCCTCAAAAAAGTCTTCCTTTTTATTTGTATGACTTTTTCTTTCCTATTCCTGGAAGGTAAATAGACAGAAGCTCTGTAACACCCTCTGAAAAGTTTGTACTCCTGAAATACTTTAAGAACAGGTTGTTTTGGAATCTCAGTAACTAAACCTTCATGGATAGGGTCCCAGAATATCCAACTAAATTTAAATGTATGAAATAATTTGTGTTCTATTTAATATTGAGGCTCTGTTGTAATAATTTATTTAATTAGCATATTTTTTTAACGCACCTCCTTAATTCCCTGTCTTAGATTTTGAAGTCGCAAGAGACAGTGATCACACTGGGCTAACTTTCTTTCAACAGCAAATGAACAACAGGCTTGCCATAGAAGACTTACGGGGCAGTGCCAAAGTTCCAGCCTCCAATGGCTAGGAGAGTTTTCAGCTGGCTGTTCCTGTAAAGCAAAGGATAAAAAAAAAAAAGAGAGAAATTGCAAAATCCATAATTCCCACTATTGAAAATAACATTGCTCTAGTATTGGGCTTGGTTATTGACTTTGGTGCTGCCTTGATAGGATATTTTACAGAATAATTTTCTTCTACTACTGAAAACTTTCTTTATAAAAATTCTTTGTCTTGTTCTCATCATTGATGCATTCAGTGTTTCTTAGAGAAATCTAAATTATAGAGCTTTTTTTTCTAACAAAGAATGTATTTGTGATATTTTTGATACATGTGACTTAAAATCATAATTTCTCATTTTCTGTTCTATCTGATAAAATGGTAAATGTTGCTCAAGCATAATTACTTTCTCAGCCTCCATGACAATTAACGTAAATTAATTGGCTAGGAATTACACACGTTCTCTGGAATAGAGGCTCTCAAACATCCATTTACATAAGAATTAAATGCAAGGGTTGTGAGAGGACAACATTAAAATTACAGGTTTACCACCCCTTCCCCAGAGATTCTGATTCAGTTGGATCAGAATGCAGATGGCCATTTTTATCAAGTTCCCCATATGATTTTGTTACAAGCAGTCAATGGGCTGCACCTCAAGAAACACTGCTCTAAAGGAGATACCTCCTTTTAGGTATCATAACTTAAATTCTAGTAACTGCATTCGTGGTAGTGTCATTACTGATGTTAACAATCATCTGTAGCCTCCCTTATCCTAGATATGACTAAACTGAACAAATTCGTTAATTAAAAGATACCAGGTTTTTTGTTTGTTTTTACACAAAAAAGAACTCTGTTAAGATACAGGAAACCTGTCTGATTCTCGGGCTCAATGATCCTAATTTTTAGTATCTTCCACCTCCTGCTCCCTGATGCATGTAATTAAGATGGCTTGCAGTTTCCTAAGTCATAGAAAAAGAGAAAGAAAGATACAGGACCAATATTTTTTGAATATTTTCTAGACCAGACAATGTGCTATATTATCTGTATCCTTGCAATTATACTTAAAGTGTGGCTCCTGTATCAGATTCATTAGCATAATCTGGGGGGAGCTTGTTGGAAATGCAGAGTCCTATCCACAAGCAAAAGAATTAGACCCTCGTCTTCTACAATATACAAAAATCAACTCAAAATGGATTAAAGACCTAAATGGAATACCTGAAACTGTAAAGTTACTAGAAGAAAACATAGAGAAAAGCTCCATGACTTTGGTCTGGGTGAGGATTTTTTTGGCTATGACTCTGAAAGCACAGCAACAAAGGAAAAAATAGACAACTGGGATTACCTCAAACTAAACAGCTGCACGACCAAGGAAACAACGGAGTGAAGTGACAACCCATGGAATGGGATAAAATGTTTGTAAACCATCATCTAATTAGGAGTTAATATGCAAAATATATCACAAAATCAACTCGGTAGTGATAAAACAAATAACCTGCTTAAAAAATGGGCAAAGGACCTCAATAGACATTTCTCAAAAGAAGACACACAAATGGTCGACAGGTATATGGTAAAATGCTCAACATCACTAATTATCAGAGAAATGCAAATCAAAAGCACCATGAGACATCACCTCACTCCAGTTATAATGACTATTATCAAAAAGACAAAAGGTAACAAATGTTAAAGAGGGTGCAGAGAAAAAGGAACACTTGCACAGTGTTGATAGGAAGGTAAATTAGTATAGCCATAATGGAAAACAGAATGGAGGTTCCTCAAAAAATTAAAAATAGAACTACCATATGCTCTAGTAATTCCACTACTGGGTTTATATCCAAAGGAAATGATATCAGTACATTGAAGAGATATCTACACTCCCATGTTCATTACAGCATTATTCACAATAGCCAAGATAGGAGATCTACCTGAGTATCCATCAACAGATGAATGGATAAAGAAAATGTGGTATATATATACACAATGGAATACTATTCTGCCTTAAAAAAGAAGAAAATTATATCCTTTGGATGACATGGATGAATTTGGAGGCCATTATGTTAAGTGAAATAAACCAGGCACAGAAAGACTTATTTATAAGTGGAATCTAGAAAAGTTGAATTCATGGATGTAGAAAGTGGTGGTGGCCGGGGCTGGAGGCATGCTGGGGTTGGGGGCTTGGAGAGATGGTGGTGGAAGTATACAAAATTCCAGTTAGGAGGAGTAAGTTTAATAGATCTATTGTACACCATGGTGACTATAGTTAATAAGAATGTATTTATTTGAAAATTGCTAGAGAGTGGATTTTAAGGGTTATCTCTACAAAAAAAAAAAAGTCACCTATGTGTGGTAATGCATACATTAATAGCTCAACTGAGCCATTCTACAATGTGTACATATTTCAGAACATCACGTTGTACCAATAGATATGAACAATTTTGTCACTTAAAAAAGGAAAACAAAATGCAGAGTTTTGCTTGCCACCTCAGGTCCACTGATTCTGAACTACATTTTAAGAAGCATTAATGTCTGGAAAGTACTGACCTAGGCGATACCAAATTAAATATCTCTCCCCTCCTCTTACTTGTTTTTCAGGCCATTGAAAGCTTGGTAGAGAGTCATGTCATCCCATTAAATGGTGGTGATCTCATTGTTCTTCATTCCAGCAAAGGCATAGATCAAGATGAGTGCACAGGCAGGAATCGATGTTGTCAGGCTCGAAGCACTCCCGGCCTGGCCGGTACTGGGGCCCAGTTGGTGAAGTAGCTTGTCAGCTGATAGGCAGAACCTGTGGGTAGTAAGGAGAAAGGACGATGGCCTGATTTAGCATCCACTGAAATGTGCTGTGAGTTTTGACCGTTCCTCTGTTTGCCTCCCTGTGTGTCAGAGGCCTGATGTCTGTGTGAAGGTGGTTGGGATGAACGCTTTTGCAAATGATTCCCAAAATTCTCAGATGCAACTCCACTGACTTGGAGTTGGTTATTTTTAACTTTGACAAACTCATTTTGGGATCTTGAATAAGGCTAAGAGCCTTCTTAGAAAAGATACCCAGTAGTAACATGAAGCCCAGTAACTCACAGGTGGTCACGCTGAGGAGGATAGCAGTGACAGCCAATCCAATACAGTAGATTCCCCCCAAATACAACACATCTGTCTGTGGAAGTAAACAATAGCTCTCCTTCCCTAGTATGGTTTATCTCTTGAAATATTTTCTTTAAAAAAGTAACAATGGAATATTTAAAAAATCACATATAATATATTAAGCAGATAATTGAGTTATGAATAATTTATAGGCACTGAGGTCTCTGTTAGGAAAAGATTATGTCAATGATAAAATATTGAGCCCATGACTTACCCAACTGAGCATTCAGCAGAAGGGCCAGACCTAGATAGAAAGTAAAAATACGTACTTTGAACCAATTGTCTGTACCCTGTAGAATCTCATTCTGAAGCCTTGGGTGCCTTCCTATTTGCCAGAGATTGTTACAGCTTGAGTGAAACTTAGTGGTTATGCCAAAGGCTTTTCAGTGAATACAACAATAGATTTACCTTTTTTTCCCCTTTGTCAAAAATGGTCATGATGCCTCTTCTTCCACCTTCCATGTCAGAAATAAACGTTACTGAATGCAGCAGAATCTGAAGCCTACTAAGGAAGGTAAACTTACTGAGATTACCCCATGTTCATGCTGCTCAGTGACTATACATCCAGTCATGCTTCACCTCCCTGAGCTGGCGGGAGTGCAGCCTTGCAACAGATAAGGCATCCTCTACAGCAGGGAATTCAGTGTCTCCTGGAGCCTTAGGAGTTTTTTCAGAACCACTTTTCAGGAGCTCTTATGAGAGGCGAGAAGAACTAGGTACTGTGAGGTGAGACTCCAGATGCCTCTCTCTGGCTTCTACCAGGGTACTTCTGGGCTGATTGTTTTACAAATTGAGCTTCAAGTTTCATTTGGAAAACGTTCTTAAGCTTAAAAAACTTTTAAATTCCAGCTTTAGAGCAACTAGTAGTGATCTGTCATCTAGCTTAAAAAAGATAATATTATCTTTGAATATTTCCCTATGTACTCTTCTCCAGTTAAATGTTCTTCACTCCTCTTGAGTAAGCTCTGTCCTGAATTTTGTACTATTTCCTTGCTTTACTTGTAATTGTAACTTATATGTCTGTGTCTCTAAATAGTACATTCACTGGTTTTGTATTAAATTATTATGACCACTTTATTATATTTGTTTTAATATATTCATCAGCTTTGACTTTATATAAATGAAATATCATATGTATTCTCCTATTTCTTGCATTCTTAGCTCAGCATTAAGTTTCTGAGATTCATCCAATTGTTAAAAATAGCAGCTGTTCATCTATTTTCATAGCTCTATGGTATTCCATTATACAAATATGCTGTGGTTGACTTATGCTTTCTACATAGAAGAACATGTGGTTTATTTTTTTTCCCCTACATGCTGCTATAAGCATTCCTGTACATGTTCCTTGGTGCACATTTGCAAGAGTTTTTTCACTGTTTACACCTAGGAATGGATTTGCTGGGTAAAACAGCTTATGCATATTAATTTAATATTTAGCTAGCTAGTTTTTTCTTTTTTTAATTGTTCTTTTTTTTTATTTCAGGGTATTATGAGGGTACAAACATTATGGTTACATTTTATGTCTTTGTCCCACCCAAGCGAGGGTTAGAGGCATGCTCTTCCCCTCTACAATGTTCTCCATGTCCTTTAGTTGAGGGTTTACCCCCCATCCCCCTAATCCCTGGAGAGTATTATTACCGTGTGAACACCCTAGTGTTCATCAGTTAGTACCAATTTGATGGCGAGTACAAGTGGAGCCCATTCTTCTGATCTTGTGATACCTCACTTTGGATAATGGGCTTAAGTTCAATCCAGGAAAGTATAAGAGGTTCTAGAACACTATCCAGAATCAAGGATGACAAATTCAATAGAAAATACCTCACCAAATATAAATGGTAGCTAGACCTGATAGTGCTGACTAGGATAAACCCGGAGCTACTGGCCTTTCTGTTTGTTTTTGCAAATCCTTGACTTTGATTGGACATAGTTCTGGCTCCTTGGCCCAACTGTATTCTCCCAACTACCTCTGGAAAATGCCTCACCCAGTTCAACCTAGACCACAAACTGGCCCACTTAACACAGGGAGGCACTGCAGTGTAAATATTAGTAAATTTCCATTCTGGAGGCAGCTAGTCTTGGCACTGAATCCTGGATCTGGTGCTTCACAGCTGATCAATTTCCTCATCTGCAAAATTGGTGTGATAGTAATAATCCTCTTCAGAGGTTAAATGAAATAATGAAGTACAGTCCTCTGATGAACATTCACTGCATTTTAGTCACTCAGCTTTCACTCTTCATTCCTTTTGAATTTCATTTCGTGACCTGTCCTGGTGGAAATGTAAATCCAGGAGCTCTGCCTTTTCCCTAATCAAGGGTCTGATGCCACATAACCATACTACTTTTCCCAGGACTTTGATTCCTGCTATACATGTATGTAAAATAAACTGGAGTTTATTTATCCTAAGCCTTTCTTCCACTCCCCTCCCCTAAGACAGACTTGATTTCTGTCATGTCAGAGGCAGGTTCTCTAACTTCTGGCCTCAAATTCTGAATAAATGATCTGACCTGCAGGTTAAACATCCCTTCTTAATATCTCCTTAAGAGCTGCAGGTGCGCCCCAGTAAACTTGGCTCCCATTTGAGCACTTGGGTATTGAAGAGAATTACTGCCAAAGGTTTAAAATCATCAGCATTGTGTATCCTTTCATATTATTAATTTTTTTCAATAAGCCAGTATTATTTTTAGTCTCTTTAAACTTTATTGTAAAATCTACCATACACAGTTTAGAGATATGTTTAAAGAAAAATATTACCCCATTTGTTGATGGGGTTGTTTGATTTTTTTCTTGATTTTTTTAAGTTCTAGATAGACTCTAGTTATCAGCCATTTATTAGATGTGTAGAAAGCAAATATTTTCTCCCATTCTATAGGCTGTCTATTCACTCTAATGATAGTTTCCTTGGCCATGCAAAAGCTTTTTTTTTTTTTTTTCCTTGAGACAGAGTCTCACTCTTTTGCCCAGGCTGGAGTAAGTGCCGTGGCGTCAGCCTAGCTCACAGCAACCTCAAACTCCTGGACTCAAGCAATCCTTCTGCCTCAGCCTCCCGAGTAGCTGGGACTACAGGCATGTGCCACCATGCCCGGCTAATTTTTTTCTATATATTTTTAGTTGTCCGATTAATTTCTTTCTATTTTTAGTAGAGACGGGGTCTCGCTCTT